GATTCGTTGTAGATGTTACTCTTCTGGGGCCACCAGAATTTGTGGGAACATCTTATCAATGTCTGCTTTCAATGCCACTGAATGATGTGGTAGGTACACAGACCCGGTCAGAGTATGCTGCGATGATGATCTAGACTTTAAATGGTTAGATCTCAACATTCTACCCAGCCGGGTTTTGTACTCGGAACCTTTCGCATGTGAGGGAATGAACTTATCCACTGCCCCAAGTCATCGGGCTATAAATCTTGCTATTCGATGAAAAATTTGCCATACTCACATTGATGCAGTGGATTAACGCGGAATCCATTTCTCTATCTTTCCAGGCATTTCCTCGCGATACCGTAGGATTTGCCAATATCTGGTGTGACGAAATTCCAGGCGAGTACGTCACGTGCAAAACTCCAGGGTATTTATATATAAGAGAAAAAGCGAGAGAGAGAGAGAGAGAGAGAGAGAGAGAGAGAGAGAGAAAGGGACAGGGGGGGGGGTGCAACATACATGGTCGTGACATCGCTCTTCAATTTGCAATTATTCCGAGTCATTTCCAACAGAAATTTTTGACTTTACTTTTTATCCCTCTGACCCGCAAACCTCCCAAAACCCCATCGATGTGGTGGGCACCAATCACAGCACGCCGTACGATATATTAGTGACAAATGGTCACGTGACTATACCCTCACTCCTCTCGCGTCAGGACGTTACAACTATTTTACGTAGCTGTCGAGACCCTCCGTATATTCTTGCGTAATACGTATTACACATTGAAGCTTTCAGAGTTAAAAATCATATAATGAGAGATAAAAAAAATGCCAGTAATATACAGCCATAGCCGGAAAAATGTAAAAAGACTGAATGTTGATTGATAAGTGTATGTGGAATTCCTGGTAAATGCATGAAACAATGAGAGACACCTTCAAATTGTGAAATGAATCCAGATAGTTTGTCAGCAAAGAAAAATACAAAAATTGTCGAATAACTAGAACGATTATGGTCTTCTAATATTGGAAATTATCCAGTTCAACCTTTTGTGGAAAATCGAGGTCCTGTTCGTGATTTAGCGATTGGCAGTAATGACATGTCTTCCTTCAAATTACTTCCTCTCTTCTGCAGATTTTCTTCATCCTGTCTACGAATAAATTCCTTTTCAAAATTTCCATATTTGAGATTCATCTGTTGAAACTTACGCTTAGTACTACGGAACTGTTCACGTACTCGTCACTCATCCCCTTCTACATAGGTAGTGCGAGTCAGAGGGTTAATTCGAAGTGGATTCCTAAAAAAAATCTAGGTGCAATTTTAATAGAAGACTCGCCCCATAATTCTGAAAGCCGTCGATTTTTGTACTCACAACACCATCCAAGATTACAAAATCGTTCTACTGCCTCAAATCTCGCTAAAGTGTTAAATTCTTCATTTTATCATTTCATTTCCTTTAACTTACACTAGAAAATGATTGAAATTTGTATCCAAAATCACAGTCATCATTGAATTATATTCTTTACATAATTTATATTTATGATTTCCACATTTACACAGAGGCAATCCATATAATTTCACAGTAAAAATATGCATTCCGCATAAACTAAGAAAACATTTGGGATAGAGATTTCTTTTGTTCAAATTCCTCATCTTTTATTGCACTTAAGAACGACTGAATTTCTTTCTCAACAGCGGATTTGAGGGTTGGGTCGAGTTCTGCAACTTTTTCCAAGTCCTCCAGAGCTTCTTTCTCGTTCCAGGCTCCTATGTGTGCTTTTCCCCTCCTATACAGAGCTTTCACATTATCTGCAATTAGGAAAATGATTGATTCAGTGTAAATTGATTATTCACGTTGACAAAAAAATATTGCCAAAAACTATTCAGTGGCATAAAATGTGGTAAAATGAATGATCTCAACTTTTACCGCATTTTGCTTCCGAAATTTAAGTTTCCGATTATTTCTGTTACGGTAATTAAATAGTATCTAAAAAGTCAGAATATTCGAGTTTTAAATGGTGTATGTATGTATTGTGACGTGATAAATTCATCACAAATATTGGTTTTGTTTATCGCACGCTTTGCGTGTGGGTTCCATAGTTAAAAATCACCAGGCGGGAAGTTACCAACCGATAGCGAGTCATGAAAGAGGTTTTGAGTTTATGTCTGATTCACTTTGTGACGAAATTGCAGGCTAATTCGTTACTTGACCGAACAGGAGAGTAATTATATGGGCTAGAGAGAGAGAGAAGAACAGTATCTTGAAAGACGAACCCGAATCCCGAGTCGTGAGAATCGCGAAGTTACGTCTACCCATCGCGAAAATCGGAAATCGGAGCTCTGCCATTCTCCCCGAAAACTACGCTATATACGTTCTTTCCTAAATGCCATTTAGAGACGATGAAACTATGGTACCGCGTTAAATGGACTGCCACGGGTGAAAGGCGAATATATTCAATACAAAATCAATTAATAACACACCCAGAAGAGTAAGTTATGACAGTCCAGTTTAGTTGGGCATTCTCGGTTTTGTTCCCTTTAATAAAGCCTGTGTTAATTAGATTAAAGAGCTATATGCTACGGAGGATCAGGGCCGACACACTGAGCAACCCCGCGAGCATTGGCAATCCTCTTTATTTATATGTTTTTGGAGAGACCACAAAAACGAGCGAAATTCTCGAACTCCCCTGGTTGCAAGGGTGTTACGTGTCTTCTAGTGTGTACGATTGGAAGGTTATACGGATGAATTAGTCCATTTATTTCGTGTGAATTGCCAGGACTTTTGGATTTGTTTTTATTCGGTTGAGAAGCTGCTAATTCGTTCCTGGAGAGTGTCCTTCAGGGATAAATTATTTAATTTCGGTCGTATGCAGAGGTGATACCCGCTCCGTAAATATTAATGTTTTAGTACGGTTAAGTTGAAAGAAACAGTCTCGATTATAAAAATAGAGCTATTCAAGATGAAACCCCATTCAATAATGTGAATCAAATCTCCCGCGCCCTGTTTTTCACCGACTAGGGAGTTCAAGGCGACGCTCGCGCTAAATTACTAGCCATCCACTTTCCCCACTCTAATGCTACGGTCCCGGAGTCAGTCGTTTCGCAGACCATACGATTAGCACGCCGAAAAAGGAATTCTGCAAGAAAGCGAACACAAGAACTATGTATACCGAAATTAATGATCCTGAGGGCCCCATCACCAGTTACGAGGGATTATTAACCACGATGGTGAGTCATTTATCGCGAGTGAAAGTGTTTCAGTCATAAATTGCGAAAAACCACGTGCACGAAATGAAATCTCGAAAGCTCTGTAAAACAGACGCCAACCCTCGCGAAGCTTTGTAAACGTTACCCAATTAGCTAAAGTTATGTTAACTCTCCCCCAAAAATACCTAAAGCTAAATAAAAAATTATGGTTTTTAATAAGTGACAACGTATGGAAAACATCCCGTGCGACCCGCGCCATCATCTTCTGTGCATTCAATTTTGTACATTCAGCTCTGTGAAATTCGAATTATTTTAGGTAAAACCGACATGATTTAAAGAAAATGCTCTGTCTTATATCGAAGGGGATAGTCAGGGCAAAAGCTATGTGTTTCATTTTTCAATTTGGAAAGTGATGAGAATGAGATCAGACTCATACGATTTTTCAAGGGCATTGTGCCACCAGTTGCTTCATCGCTACGGACCGCTCGGCATAATTCCACGTTTTCAGTGACACTTTCTGATATTCCCGCATTACGAATGTTTGCGCTATATCAACGCTACGTTTCCTTAATCTCTTGGTATATAAACTTCGAATAAATTACTCAAATTATAATCAGAAGAGATTCTAACTCTCTTTGCACATCGAATTCTCAAAATTTCAAGGAGGAAAATTACCGTGGGAATGAATGGAATAACCTCGATGCTCTGTATTCCTGCGTGACTCCCTCACACTCATATAATATGATCACGTTATGTCTCTCATGTTTAAGGACCCCCTCGAGCTACGTACTGGCCAAGTTATTCTCCAGTTTTTTTTTAGAAATTGGATTTTATTAATTCCCGGAGAAGTTATTCGGTTTAATAATCGATTTGGAGATTACTTCTGAAATTATCTCAAGTCCAGTTTGTAACAATCTTGTTTGCTAACAAATAACGTATTAAAATAGCAATAGCGGAACATGTAAAATGAAATACTGCCTTCTAATTCGTTTAATAAAACCCAAGCTTTTCAGAAAAAGTCTACTTTAAATCTCGATCTCTCTACCACCACGTTACTTGTCGTCTGGGTATTTTATTGTTCATGTCTAACGGATCCACCCCTCTCTCTACGACCCACACAATGAGCGAGCGAGTGATACCGTACCCTCGTGATCCACGTTTCTGCGTATGGTTTCGTTTTTATTTCTTGTCGTTGATGGAATTTCGGGAACAATTAGTATTTAGTTTTATGCAAATACAGTGATGCTGGCTGTTCGTCAGTTCGGCGTTGCTAAAAATCGGCTGGCGCCCTCAATATTTGAAGCAAGGATTGAATGAGTTGCTGATTGTCCCCGGAATCCAGTCGTGCCGTTTTGGTTTTTGGCGTTTTGGATTTGGCGGGTCACGAGAAGGAAGTGTAACAATTCGTCAGTTTCAGATTGCGTTGAGTTTGAGTAAGGATATTGGTCGGATTTTGGTTAAAGCGTAAAAAATCGTTACAACTTGTATTGTTTTGAATCAAATTTGGCGCGGTCACACTCACGCTGAGGGAGCCATCATCTTCGAGGGATATCAGGATGCCGAGGATGGTCGCGAGACAGCTTCGGAGCCTTCGGGTGAGCCTGCAGAATTTTCAAGTTGCCAGGAGGGCGCTAGCTCTCGGATAGCCTTGGATAGGTCGCGACGCAAAGGCTTGACTGATGGGAAATACACGTGGAGAAGAAGGAAAACACGGGAAAAAATGAAGTAATTCATTATGATGGCTTCCAGATGGATGCCGCGTCTAGATTCAGCTTTTTGTCGACGTTTCGCAAACATTTCAGTCTGCATCATCAGGGCTAGTTTGCCCCGATACTGAAGCTCTCCGTTGTAAGGAAGTCCTTATATACCCCCTGACCCCTGGAGGGGGTTTGGTATCCTCGATCCCTATTGAGGTTGTTGGGATGTTTTTGGATTTCGAGATCTTCGCGATGTTTTCTGGCGAAATATCCTTGTGAGCTGGCAAGCATTTCTGTCTTGTCATATTGGATAGAGTGTCCAGTGTCCATCCAATGTTCAACCAGTGCAAATTGCGAGACATGGCCATTTTGTGCACACCGTTGATATTCTTTGATCCGTGTACTCATCCTCTTCCCGGCTTCACCAATGTAAACTTTTCCACAAAAGCAAGGGATTTTGTACACCCCTGGGAGACTAAGTGGTGGTCTCCGATCCTTAGTACTGGGGAGCATTTGTCCAATTTTCGTTGGTGGTTTGAAAATTGTCCTGATGGCATGCTTCTGTAGTACCTTGCTAATGCGATCGGTCGTACCTTGAAGATACGGGAGAACAGCCGTTTTCTGATGTTCTACTTTATCAGCAGGTTCACTCTCAGCTGAGTTCTTGTTTTTCAGTCTGTGCAAAATACGGTGGACTTGTTTACTCTGGTATCCATTGTTATTCAATGCTTTATCCAGGTGTTGAACTTCGGCTTCCAGGTATTCAGGCTGGGAAATAGTGAGAGCTCGGTACATAAGAGAGCTTATCACCGAGTTCTTTTGAGAATGGTGATGGTGTGAGAAGGCATGGAGGTATCTGTCGGTATGTGTAGGCTTTCGGTAGACTCGGTGACCAAGACTTCCGTCCTCATTACGATGCACTAGGACATCTAGGAAGGGAAGAAACTTCTGTTCCTCAATCTCCATGGTGAATATAGTTTTCCCTATTTGGAGAGTGCCATGATTATGGGCGGCCATGCACGCATCCATTGAAATGTATTGAATGTACTCTGCATGTGCATTGTCTACAATTGAGACATGGGAGTGCACTCCACAATGGTAGACAGTTCGACTAATTTCGATTTTACATTGGGTCACTCGCGTATGAGTACATTGATCCAATTGTAATAAATAAACATACGCTTTAGAGGAAGTAATCTTCCTCCTCGATATCGCAATCATCGATATCAAGTGATGAAATTGTAGTAACATTCAATGAGTTACCACCGCAATCGTAACCAACTATTGCGAACACGTAATCCCACATTACTAACAGTATTACGGTTTTTAACAAAATCATTATCTGTAATCAAAATAAAACGGAAAGAAAAGAAAAACATTAGTGAAATCACTAATTTCTTACAAAAATAAGGAGAAAAATTAAAGTTAAAAATAATAAAGATGCTCAAAAGCATCAAATTACGGTATGAAATCCGAATCAGAATCAGACGAATGATTTTTCTTCTTTTTGATAATTTCCTTTTTATCGTAATTTTTCAATTCTGAAATTCTACTGGCTTTTAAACGATTCGAATGCCCAACTTTATGTTTATTCTTGCATAAAATTTTCACAGTTCCGTCAGGTAAAATTTCTAAGACTTTAAAAGGACCATCATATTGGATTCCTAGTTTTCCTGGTTTAGGACCACTCAACAAAAATACATTATCACCCACTTGGAAATCTACGGGGTTGATCTTTCGATCATAATAATGTTTGGATTTAAGCTTCGAATCCACTAGATTGTCGTAAGCTAATTTTCTAATCTCAGTCAGACGTTTAACTAAATTCTCGATATAATCATCATACGTTGGTAATTTATCCAACTCATGTAACGGTTCTTCTGATAGAAGTCTAACCGTTTTACCAAACACCAAATCGTAAGGTGTATATTTCGTGCCCTCATGAACGCACGTATTATAAGGGAGCATCGCTAGTTCGATCCATTGATCCCATTCTTGATCTTGACTAGCGTATTGTTTCAAACATTCACCCAAAACATGGTGTGAACGCTCTAAAGATCCATTTGACTGTGGATGGAACGCGGTAGTTTGTAACTTCTTAATTCTAAACCGCTTGTTTATTCTCGCCATCATTGAACTGATGAAATTTCGTCCTTGATCAGTTAATACTACTGTCGGCGATTTGAAAATACTAATAAATCGTTTGATAAACGCATCGGCAATGGTTTCCGCTCGTTGATTTTCTAATGGAATCGCCAACGAAAATTTAGAAAATTGGTCTTGAATAGTAAGAATATACTCATTTTCATTCGCAGTTTTAGGTAGAGGACCGACGATGTCCATAGCTAATTTATCGAAAACAGTACCCGGTGTATCCGTGACAACATCGGTTGTTTTGTTTTAACGCGAACCAATTTTTTTAACTGACAATCCGCGCACTGCTGAATCCTTCGTTGGATATCAGCCTTCAAATTCTCCCAACAATATTTACTTTTAATTCTGTTGTAGGTCTTCGAAACGCCTTTATGACCACCGATGGGAGAACAATGCATTTCATAAAAAATTGCATCACGTTTCTCGATAGGAACGTGTTGAATTCTGCCAAGACAAACAATGATTTTAATCTTTTCCGATTTGAAAATTTCTTGAATCAAAATTAGAATTTCCTTCCACGCGAGACTACCAACAAAATCGGAATAAGCAATAGAAATCGTTTGAATTTTTCTATTAATTGAGATTTCTTTCAAATTAATCAGACTGGTTCTGAGATAATTTTTAGTTAAGAGGTTAGATTCCCCACTTGATCCTTTAATTACAGAGGCAAAATGGAAATATTTTCCCATTTTTTGTTTGCAAATTCCACCTAAGGTAGGAGCTTTAATAGAAGGTAATTTATTCAATTTCTTGAATTCCTTTGTACCCTTATCAAGAGGTTCCCCCTTGTCTGATAGAAAGTACAACAAATTATGTTTACGATAAATAATTAACTCATTAGAAGAAATAATAATTGATTTATTATTTCTCTTACCTTCAAAATCAAAATCAGATTGTTCAGAATCTGAATTAGACTCATCATTGCTATCAGATTCATTAGCTGAGTCATTCAATTTAGATGATAAGGGATCTCCTGCGACAATTTTGTCCATATTAGATGGCACTTTACATGTCTTCCTATCAACAATCCCTGTATTGTCATCAAATCCATCTTTAGAGTTTAAAACACGTTTGGGTGGCCTGCCTCTTTTCTTTTTAATTGAATCTGGTTTTTTACCAGCCCTATTTAAATGATTTGAAATTCTTTGATTAGAAAAAGAATTATCTGCAATTTTTCCAGCCGAAAGAGAATTATCTGGGATTGTCCCAACCGAAAAAGAATTATCTGGAATGACTGCATCAGAAAATGGATCATCTAGAATTTTTCCAGCAAAAAGAGAATTATCTGGGATTGTCCCAGCCGAAAAAGAATTATCTGGAATGACTCCAGCAGAAAATGGATCATCTGGAATTTTTCCAGCAAAAAGCGATTGATCTTTATGATCAGATCCATTCAAAATATCCAGAATCTCTTTTAATTCCGGATCAAGAGGTTCTTCAGACCTCTTCATTTGAGCTCGAGTAATTACATTCACTTGTTCAACTGGGTTTGTTGACAACGCGTCCGCCTTCAAGTTAATTTTCCCTGGTTTATATTGAACAGTGTAATCATACTCGGCTAACTTTAATCGCCATTTAAGAACCCGCGTATTAGCTTCTTTTGCGGTCTTGAACCAAACTAAAGGTTTATGGTCAGTTACAACCGTAAACTCATGTCCGTAGACATAAGGTCTAAAATTTCGTACGCCCTCGAGAATAGCTAATGCTTCTTTTTCGAAAGTATCATAACCTAATTCTGCACCCCTTAAAACTCGAGAGTAAAAAGCGATAGGTTTATCCTTCCCTATCTCTCCCTGAGAAAGAACTGCGCCAATGGCAAAGCCAGAAGCATCAGTCGTTATTACAAAAGGCTGTGCAAAATCAGGATACTGCAGAATTGGAGCTGTACATAACGCTTCTTTAAGTGTTTCGAAAGCATTTTTAGCTCCATCGGACCAAACAAATTCTACATCATTCTCTAATAATTTAGTCAATTGCTTTGCAATTTTAGAAAAAAATTTTATGAATCGTCTATAATATCCGGTTAATCCAAGGAAAGAACGAATATTTTTTTGTTTTTTTGGAACTGGAAAGTTTCTCACGGCATCTAATTTGGAAGGATCCGGTTTCAAACCCTCTTTACTAATTATGTGCCCTAGATAACCTACTTCCGGTCGCAAAAATTCGCACTTATCCGGTTGTAGTTGTAAATTCGCTTTTTCTAAACGATTCATCAACGCTTCAATCTTTTCTTCGTGATCTTTCAAATTTTCTGCGAAACAATAATGTCATCAAGTTACACAAACATGGATGTACCTTGTAAACCAGACAACACGCTATCCATTAAACGTTGGAATGTTGCTGGGGCATTTTTCAATCCGAAAAGCATTCGGTTAAATTCCGAATGACCTTTTGGTGTTGAAAAAGCAGTTTTGTGACTGTCTCTTGGATCCATCTCGATTTAATGGTACCCAGACGCAAAATCAAACACCGAGAAATATATAGATCCCCCTAATTGATCAAGTATATCAGTGATATTGGGGAGGGGATAAGCGTCAGTTACCATTTTTTCATTCAATTGACGGAAATCTATCACTACACGCCATCTTTTATTCCCTTTTGAGTCAGGCTTCTTGGGGTCAACCCATACGGGGCTGTTATAAGGGGATTCTGATTGTTTAATTATTCCCGCTTGAAACAATTCATCAATTTGTTTATCAACCTCCAACTTTGTTCAGTGAGGTATACGATACTGTTTTGAAGAAACAGAAATATCAGAATTTGTTGGAATTCTATGTTTATAAATCCGAGTTGATTTTAATGGTTCACCTGGAATGTGAAACCGATCAGAATACCTTTTTACTAATTTCTTCACATGAGCTTGTTCTTTATCTCCCAAATGATCCAATCGTAACAGATCGTTAATTTGATTGAATCGATCTTTGGTTTCTACTTCTTTCATGTGAGTTACTATTTTATTTACAACATTTGATTTACTTAAATTGCTATTTTCTGTACAAGATACTTGATCACAGGGTTCATAAATATTTTCACATTCACGAAGGGTTAAAGTCGGCACTTTAACCTTGATTTCGTCGTACGTAGTATTATATACACGCATATACGCACGACCTTGAACATTACGAACTAAACAATCGCCAGCATAAACACCTTTACCTATTTTTAATGGAGGTACATAACCCTCCTTTACATCTGTATTTTTTATATTTATGAAGAAAGCTGATTCACTACGTACTTTTATATAGATTATATCATCACCCGATCTATCTACATTTTCAAACGGATACTTTCTACCATTAATTTTCAAAAATCTATTTTCATAATAAATTTTTGCCCCCGCGGTTTTGAAAAAATTTGAGCCTAATAAACCTGCGTAAGGAATCGGCGTGTCATCAGGAACGACATGAAATGGAGCTACTTTATCCATTACATCCATTTTCATGCTTCCCAATGTCAACACCGGTAATGTTGATATTCCGTGTAATTCATTGATATCGTTTGTATCGATCATAATATTCGAATTTACATATTTACGTTTTAATAAGTTCGGAGATGCACCCGAATCCAACATTAATTTAATTTCTTCATGATTCAACCCAAAACCGAGTTTAATGAATGGAATATCATAATTTTTTTTAAAATGTACTGAAATCACTGGGAGTCGTCGCTCGACTCCGATTTGCGGACTACTTTCACTGGACGCTGAGCCCTCGCATCTCTCCCCGCGCCCATCGGGACAGATGGATTCTGGTTTCCCGAATTTTTTCGCGCTAATCTCAAACAATTTTCCAAAGAGTGGCCTTGTAATTTACAATAACGGCAAGTGTCGCCACGAGAACTAGACGCATTTGATTGATTAGTTT